GGCAGATCGTTCAGAAAAATGTTAAATAAAGTTGGTGATAAATTGCAGCCTTGCTTAACTCTACAGGTAGACTGAAATCTATCAGTTATACCCTCTGACAATTTAATTTTATATTTAATATCCTTATACATAGATTTTATTATTTCATAAAAGTTCCCCGTAATACCAATGTTTTGTAACTTGAAAAAAAGCCCATCCCTCCAGATGCTGTCAAAAGCTTTTCTAAAGTCAACAAAACATGTGTATCACCTTTTTCCGGAACTGCTGCTTTTATTTTTATTATAAATTGGTTTTTCAACTGCTGTTTTTAACAGGAAAATTGCGTCTGTCGTTCTCCTGTCTTTCCTAAAGCCAAACTGCATGTCGGTAAATAATTTATTTTCTTCCAAGTATGTGGTCAATCTTTGATTCATTATGCCAGTAAATAGTTTTGAGAGACAACTTGTTAATGGCAAACATGGGTTTAGGGAACGCGAGCTCGCATGCCAGGAATTACTCGTGCAGGAATTCATCTTTATCCATACATCGCCGCAGTTTCAAAAACAGACCCGCCTTTACTGCGCAAAATAATCTTCGTGCCACTTTCTCGAATTTTCGTGATGTATGACCTTACCAACATATCTTTGCAATTTATTATTAAGCCCTTTATGAAATTAAAAAGTCGTACACACCCAAACCGAAAGGAACGCACCGCTCCGCCTATACACATCTAACCGTAGTACACCCAGAGGGGACAGTGACATTTGGTCAGTATTCTAGTTACCGGCGGAATTCGTTGAACTTTAATCGCACAAAGGTTTCAGTGAATAACACAGTGGGCGGCAATGACGTATTATAGTTCCACAATTTCAAGTAACTGATATTCACCCGTTAATCTGTGGTTTCTTGTTGATATTCGAAATGCGTTGCTCGTAGTGAACTTTCGCCATATATGTGAATAATATTGAATTACATAAAAATACAGTCACTAGGAATTCTCATTGCATGTACTCGTTGAAACCACAGAAACCGCAATTCTGTCTGAATTAAATTAATAATGTCATTTAACAAATGGCCGTAAACCGATGAGAATATATGTTTTAAAATAATAGTCACGGTGGCTTTCGCTGAAAAGAGCATACGCACCAATATTCACTCACCTTAAAGTCTGATTATAACCCCGAAATGTAAATTAGTATATACGTTGGGTATAGCAGCAGCGCTCTTAATTAGCGCAGTGGTCGGCGCGGTAGCAGTTGCGATGATGTGCTCCTGAATACAATACACTGTGTGCACCTATAGCTACAGTAGTTCACACTTCACTGAACACATGTTGGTACTGCTTTATTTTGATCGGCAAACCATAAACAATAAATACAACAGCCACACAAACACGGAATAGACAACAGTTGGTATGGAGACGGCTTATCTTCGTCATCACGATATCAGCTTTCACGTCATTCCATAGGACTGTTCCATCGATCACCGATCAGTCAGCTCAATACAACAACGGTCACTCGATGTCATTGTATTGTAAAAATATGAGCGTACTAATACAATCGTTAATACGCCGTATAGTTTTTTTTTTTTGTAATAATTTAGCTTGGCCAATGTATACACGCCAACATTCATGTATTGTGCTTTCCTGTGTCAATGTCAGGACAAACCGATGAATTGTATTGCACCTGACAAGCACTGCGAAATCAGGTCACATCATGAGTGTTGTTTTTACTGGGTGTTGTTGAAGTACTACAAATACTGCCATGACCCAGACCGGGCATTACAAGTATTTCAGTCTTTCACATCCACGTCGGGAAAAATAAAAATAATATACGCGCGGTTAAACTACACCATTTCATTCACGTCAGGTTTACTTAACCTGCAGTTGAGGGAAACCGTCACGGTCAAGTTTGCACACGTCATAACCAACGTCATATTTATCATGCACTCTACATGGTCAGTGACCTTATCGGTGGTGTGAGTATATGTGTTTTATTGGAAATTGGGCGACGGACTATGACGGATGTTGTTATGCGAAAAACAACTTGATATGTGAAAACCGATTCAGAAAACAAAAATATAATCTTCAACTGCCGTACGATATCTGTTCACAGTACGACGGGTCCGAGTCCAAACTTTCTCTTTATACTAGTACCTTATACATGAAAACACCGCTGAGTGGGCGGGGATTTTTGCCACGGCTGGTATGCCGAGACCTGGCTTGTTATTCGTGTGATCCGTTTTACGTCATGAAGTCGTAACCTTGATAAAGGTAACCGAGATTGGTCCACGAAGGCTCGACATAGCATACCTATTTATATTCGAATAAATGTTGTCTAATAATGCCAATTTTATAAATCGTCTATTGCATCACAGTCACTCCTAGTAGAGTTACCGTGATTGCATGAAAACTTTGCTCGTTGTGACCAGCTTTTAGATTATTTATATGAAAACACCCCCACATTGCTTAAATTCGATACTGGACGATATTATCGATCCTATCGGAGATTTAGTGTCACGTTTGTGTTTAGATAATATATATAGTATCGCTTTAGTCATACGTTTTTAGATAACAGTCAGTATTACTTTAGTCTGACGTTTTCACATGTACATGGCTTTAACCATAGACCCTCTTTTAGAGGGTCTATGCTTTAACACGCTGACACTGTCGGATAATATTGTTTACTATCTTCTATTATCGAAGTTTTTAGTAAGTATTTTCAAGCTGTACGTGGGCACTAGATAGTTGAGATTTTCAATAATACCGGATTCTATCGCAGATTGCCAAGCAGTGGAACACGTGGAAAACACTTCCACGACATTCAGTTAACACAGTCTATATTTGATACTAGGTGTTATTAGACGACTCGGAGATATTCAAGCCAGTTCTACTAATCACTATCACTTGGGAAACATTTCCCTGACATTTTGTTAACTACAGTCTAACTTTAAGTTAGTTAATACATGGAAGGTACTAACGTTTGTACCTTCTATGGTTAATATAAGAAATTTTCCAACTCCGATATTCGGAGATAATCTCTGATTTCGATACTAAACTACCTAACATACCGGCGATATTTTATAAATGTGCAATGTCGTGCCTTGGTTGACAACCTTTCCCAGGATGACATTTAGGAATGCCGGGTAAAGTTGTAATTGTTTCTATAAGTTTGCAACTAACTGCCAGTGAGTTTATTCACCTGGGTGTACACGCATTTTTTGCGTCGGGTGAATGATAGTAAGGTCGCCAGTAGCAATTAAAACCACGTTCCGTGCTTCACCGAGACTGGTTCAAATTAAAGAAGTTGGTATTTTTACCCGAGCCAATCCAGGGTCAAGGCAAGATTACGGAAAATACGTCGACCTTCAAGATATCAATCATTATGTTATCATCAGTAGTGGAGCGAAACCGGCGATTAGTTTTTCAATATTAGCTTCATAGTTGTTAAATATTGTTGGGCACAATTGTCATAATTTGTTTTATTTAAACAACAATGACCCCCTCCGCGATATATAAATACGGCGAAGGGTATATAATATGTGAGGCGAAGCCAAAAACATTATTGAGTCTTAGAATCCGAATCCAATATGAAACTGTGAGGATTCATTAGTTACCCACCATCAGAATTAAACAAATTAAGTTAAATTTGTTTTTTTGTTATTGAATTAAATTCACTTGCGAATAGAGTTTTACATTATTGTGTGATAATGTAAAGCTATGACGTTATAAAAACTAGTGGTGATTTTTAATTATTACCAATAATGTTTTAATTGGACACATACAAAATAGAATTAATGATAATATAGAAAGAGAAAACAAAAGAATCATATCTATATTTTGGTACATAGGAATTAGAATATAGCGTTAGGCAGTCTGATCTGATCCATTTTACAATCAGTTGAGTTCATTTCTGTTTAAATTAGGGCGATTAAAACCGATTTTTATCGGTATGCCGCCGCCTGGCTTGTTAGTAGTGTGGTCTCTGAACGTCAAGTCGTGACCTTGTTAAAGGTCGCCGAGGTTGACGACCTTTTTCAAGACGGCGTTTATGAATGTCGGTTAAAGTTGCATTTGTTTGAATGGGTGGGTGTATAGTAGTGGGATCAGTAATAAATACAACCTCGTTCCAGAAACAATTAAATTGTGGTCGAATGAATTATTTTGGAGAAGGGAGAATCCCGAATTTAGGTTTTGCAGAACTTAAAATAAATACAATGATTGCAGTGTCCAGGGCGCAAACGCAATACAAATATAATAACCACATTCACAGAGCCATATATTGTGTGACCATCGTGACCTTTGTCACTTGCAATATCACTCTAGCGGAACAGGCAAACAACAAGTTAGCTGTGACTTTGTTTGACAAGAAAACGGCCGTGACGCAATGAAAGCTCACTGGAAAAGGGCAAATTAACTAAATCTACATGCCCGTGTTGGAATTATACTTAAAATTGATTTCATTGATCTCCGATTTCTGATATGGGTACTAAAATGAATTGAATTGAAATGATTTCAATTGAATTCAATTCAATTAAACTGGTTTTCAAGCAAAGCTAACTGAGACCGTTAAATTAAATTATAAATTAAATTAGCCTGGTTTTCAAAAGCAGATAACCGAGACCGTCATTTGTCGAATGTTCCAACCTAGTGACGTCAGACCCTAATGCGATAAATATCTGACAAGTTTGGGTCTAAATAAGCGCCAAATAAAGGAAAGTAAGCCAAGTGTTGGGGAAAACTAATCTATGTTAAAAAATGCAGCTATAACTATTGCGTTAGATCCCTGAAGATTTGTTTCTCAACGGCCCACACACATGCCCGATAAAAATATTATCTCTTCGGATTAGGTTTCTGTTTTTGGTAGAACCAGAAATATCGAATTCTGTTTTTAATGAGTTTTAAAGCAACAGATACTGGATATATACAACAAACCGAACAAACTGTATGTCCAAAATTGGATCCAAGTTGACGGTTAATCAATATACATGAGAATACTTACTTCTCATAACGTTCCCATCTCAAATTTGAGTGTTGAAAGTTAGGATTGTTTTCAGTCATAACAGCTCAATCAAAACCAATTGACAGTTTCAATCCTGAATAAATAGTACCCACATGTATTCATTTCAAAAAAATTGAACTATACATTCCAGGTGAAGCTGAAAATTGCGAAAACCGAACTGTAAATAAAATGACACCCAAAATGTACTAAAATCTTCGACCTATCCACATCAGCATCTACCAGCAGTCGTTACTACCACATTTCTATTGGTCGTCCTAATCGTGAGTTTAGCCTGAGCACCACTGCCTTTACCGACCACTGGAAATCTATCTGACATTTGTGTTACCACGAGTATCTGATGACTTTACTACCTGGTCCAGATAAAATCTACAAGGAGAAGCAATGCAGGTGTTTTTTTAATGACAATCAGTTGTCAGGGACATCCTACCTAGGCTGGCCAAGGAAGCCTGCCACCTCACTGCACAGAATTTTACCTGCGCAAACTCTGTTCAAGTGGTATTGAACATCTCCATTTATGATTGTGTCAGTGGCTAGTCAACTCATTCGAATCTAGCTGGCCCATCAACGTTCTTTGAGTGTAACAACATATACCACTTGCTGATTCTCGCTCTCTGCTCTCCCTGGCTGATCGAGTGATGCAACATATCCTCAGTGGAAGCTGATAGGTGGATGATTCTAAGTCTCCTTTACTACATTACCACCAGGCTATAGAGCCCAAAGTACAGACATGACATTGGTTTCATTCAGTCAAACACATAACATCAAAGTCACATTGCAACTACACAAGACTTACACTTTACCTGACCTGGGTGAATACTAAATGGTAATGTAGAGTGACACATGGTGAAAATGAGCCTTGTTGACATAAATGTGTAACACTGGTAAGCAGTCAGCGGACCTAGCAGGGAGTAGTTCCTCTGCTACTCAGCTCTGGAGTTGACTACTTTGAGTTTTACCGCAGTAGGGATATGGCCGAGATTCCTTATTTTTACAATGACATCTGGTGCTATCTGGTGCTATCAGGTGCTATCAGGTGACCCTATACCTGGGCTAGGACAGATTATATTCTAGGAGTATTTGGGAGAGACAAGATTAGCATTTATGTAGGAATCCTTTTTCAAGGGGTTTTAGAAAGTACTACATTAAGCCATATATGAAAAGCCAATTGCTGGCCTCCATGAATGTTGCTGCTCTTAGTCTTTGTCCTGACTGGGTTTGCTCTTTCATCGAGTGTACTTTCACAGGCTTTGACAGATTTTATTCGATTAAAATTGTCTTCACTCGGTTGGTTCATGATGCACATCATTTATTTCTGTGATTAGATTTATTTTTGCAAGGCAAGACATAATGGTGAATATTCTC